ACCAGTACTCTCTCTCTCTCTCTCTCTCTCTCTCTCTCTCTCTCTCTCTCTCCACGCTGTATCTCTCTCTGTACTCTCTCTCTCTCTCTCTCTCTCTCTCTCTCTCTCTCTCTCTCTCTCTCTCTCTCTCTCTCTCTCGTTTTTCCAGTTAACGTTCAATTTCCTCTCTGAAATAGTAGAGAAATTCTTCCAGAAGTGGCTCAGAGAAATGGCCTTGCCCTGACCCTGGTCCATGCTTTTCCTGTTTCCCTGGATTTGCAGCTGATGCTCTCTGTTAGACAACATCTTATACCTCTTGTGCTTTGATTTTTTTCCATGAATGAAACGGTCACAGAAATGTGAACTCCTTCATTATCCCAATTATCCAGGCTGCTGGGAAGTTAAGTATCTGTACCCCAAATATTAGCAGAGGTTCTCTATACTCTCAAAATCTAGCTAAATTAATTGAAACAACCCTATCCCACCATCAGTGAAAAAACATCACTGATAGTTATCCAAAGTATTGCCCATGATTTAGATTTCTTTTTTCAGTGCCAGGGACAGAACCCACCAGGGCCCTGTACACACAAGGTGAATACTCTGTACTGAGCTACACCCCAAGCCCTACATTTTAGATCTATAGTAGAGGATGGGGAGTGTGTGCTTGAATATTCTTCTGCCTCCCAGGCGTCTACATGTTTATATGATCTTTGCCCTGTATCATGTAGAACCAAATATGAAAATCACTCTGTATTCTTCCCACAAATGCAGCAAAATCTGGTCAAGTACAGTACCCATGATGCAGCAGGCTCTCCTGAATAACCAACCAGTGGTAATCATGCAGCTGTCCCTTCTCCCTCGGTCTGTCAGAACCAGCAGGCAGTGCCTTCCTCCAGCTACTTCATCGGCTTTTCCCAGTGCCCTTTGCTTTCTCCATTAGACCACACAATGCATCAGTCACTAATGTTAACCCCTAAACTCACTCAGCCAAGCCTATCAACTTTCTCATCAAATATTTAATAAAACCAGACTCTTTGCAAGGCTATTAGAGACACAAAAATCCATGGAGAGGGGAGCACTGTGCGCTACAGCCTTCAGTTGATGGAAAATTCATCTTTCATATCCCCTTCTTCAAGTTCTCTTGTGAAATTCTCCTTTTCTGTACTGCATTCTACTTCTATATTTTCCTTTTCTAGTACTCAAAGTTATTCGGTCTTCCCCAACATAGTTAATTGTAGCTGTAACGTACTGCCATGGTAACAGCAAAGAAGGGAGCTAGAGATTATATTGCGCTATAGATGAACTAACAAACCCCAATATGATCCAGGTCATCCTTAGAAGTCTTTAGTCCCTTTTCAAGACCAGCAGAGACTATAGCTGAGGATGTGGAGTGACTTAGGAAGACTGCCTGACACTTTACAAAGACTAAATGTACATGTGTGGTTTGGCCCTGAAATTCCATTCCTTAGCAGATGCCTAACAAAAATATAGACATATTTTCACCGAAAGACAGTAGAAAAATGTTCACAGTCACACTGATCTTAATAGTTTAAAAGCTAGAAGAAATTCAGATATCCAAAAAGGTGAAATGGAAGGAAATGAGATGCAACTCATAGATGGACCAAGCAAATGTATTACTGAGTGAAGGAAGCCATACTGTAAGGTTCCATTCATAGACAGATGGAAATAGCCCACACTAACCCTTGGTGTTGAAGATTGGGGATATTAACTACTCTTGGGTTAGTGACTTAGAAAGGGAGTGAAAGCTGCTTGGAATTCTGGGATATATCACTTTTTTTTTTTCTTATAGAAGGAGTTTATTTGGCTTATGGTTCCAGAGGGCTCAGAGTCCATCATGGCAGCAGCTGGCAGGCAGCTGAGGGATCACATCTTCATCACCACATGGAGGTCAGATTCAGGCACTCTCAGGCGATCTACTGAGTTCTCAGCCCCTACACCAGATGGAGGCCAGATCAGGCACTCTCAGGCTGTCTCAATATCACTTCTTGATCTGCATCTAGTACACAGATATCTGTACATTGTGAGTATTGATAAAGCTATATATTCATTGTGTTCTTCTCCCTTTTTAAGGTTTGGTTTTTATTTTGTTTTGGTTTTTTGTTTTTTGTTTTTTTTTTTTTTAGTCTTCTGCAGTGCTGACAGTTGAACACAGCACTTCATACATGCTAAGCATGTACTGTCTTACAGAGCTACAACCCCAGCACTGTGCATTTTCTGTGTATATGAGTCAAGGTTAATATAGCAAACCAATACCCTTTTTCTCCAAGACTTAGATCTGCCTAAGAAATTTTAGCTTTACTTTCTCCCAGCACCAGTCTTTGGAAATGATCCAAGTTAAGACAAATTTGGAATGTTAGATGCCTGACCACACATCCGTAGTTTACATTGTGAATCCTGGGGTCTGTTGGATAACAGGAGGGATGGAGACCTGTGAACTGTCAGCTACATGAGTAGTGGGAAACAAAGGACAGGGAGTTCTAGAATCCAGTTGAACACTACATAGTATGGCTTCATTCCCAGCAATCAAACATGCTCTCTGAGCAGGTGAGGAGTCAGCCAACTCCATGCGCATAAAGAGCTGGTAGGCTTCATCAAGACAGGACGGGCATTTGCAGAGACTTGAGGCTTTGCATGCCCAATTTTCTGGCCTATATCTTACAAAGCCTAGTGCTAGATACAATGCATCTTGTGAGTTTGCTTATGAGTCAAATGTTACCACGTGATAGTGGCGCCATGTATTAAACACCAACAAAATGTTTACTAAAGAAAAAGTCTCTTGCCCAAAGGTTATTTTTACTGACCTTATCTTACTTACTTATCTTATGTTTAGCCTCCAAATTCTTTCCACTTGTGACCTGCCTATTTCTCCTTTGACTTTTTTTTTTAAAGGACTCTACAACACTTCCTAAGCTTCAGTTCTCATACAGAACTATTTAAACATTGCACTAAGCTGGTGATCTATACCAGTGTAGAGCACTTGCCTAGTATGTGTGAGACTCTTGAGTTCAGTCCCAATACTAGAAAAAAAATTGCATTATTTCATCTCAAACTACCCACAGGGGTCTCATGTCAATAAATATTTAGGCTAGTTGTACATAGTTCTCACTCAGCAGAATATGTGTTTACTTTTTTTGTTGGTTTTTTTTTTTTAGTGTTTTTTTTGTTTTGTTTTTTGTTTTGTTTTGTTTTTGAGACAGGGTCTCTCCAGCAGAACTCACTACGTAGATCAGGCTGGCCTCAAACTCACAGAGATCCACTTGCCTGCCCCCAACCCTGTGCCTTTACTCCTTTAAAACACATACACACACACACACACACACACACACACACACACACACAGACACACACACACACACACACAGAGCTAGACAGCAAATTATAAGTTTTCCAGTTAGACAGCAAATGATAAATGTCTATTCATAGATTTTCAAGTATCTTAAACTTTTCTGATGTTAAAAGGATTACAGTTTTTCTTCCAACACCAAGATGTCACCAAAAGTCAGCCAGGGTCCTATGACCCCCTAAGAAGGCCTTCTCTCTGGGTACCATGCTGCTGTCCGTATGTCTCCAGACATGGCAAATGCCCCACTGTCAGATTTTAGCTGTTTGGGTGATGTTTGTTGTCTTGTTTTGTTTTAAGATGTTATTTGGTTTTAAGTTGTTTTTGTTTTGTTTTGTTTTGTTCTTTTAGGGAAATGAAGACTTTCAGGCTTAGTGAAACCTGGAAAAGGTACCTTGCTGCATGTGTTGATAGTAGATCAACTCTTAAGATGGTTATTAGTTTTCTGTCCTTCAGTGTTGGTTGTTCAATAATCCTGTACCCTCTTGATCTAGACTTCACATGCCTTATTTGAAAGAAGGTCTCAGTAGTAAAGGCCTCTGTCTCTCCTCACCATGATGGAAATCACAGGAAAAAGGTGGTGGCCGTCTCAAAAAATAGTACCTCATGTAAATATTTATGAGTCCACTACATGAATGATCAAATCTCTCCTTGTACCTGATGCTCATTGGAAATAATGGAAATAATGCCTCTCTACTGAGCTCTTTGATACTCAAAGATACCATCCTTGGAGTGGCAGACATTATTTTTGTTAATATTCTATTCATTGTATTTTTATTTTTTATGTGTATGTGTGTATTGCCTGCATGTATGTAAGTGCACCCATGTCATGCAATGCCCAGGAAGGACAGAAAAGGGTGTCAGATCCCCTGGAACTGGAGTTATAGATGGTTGTTAGCTGCCATGTGTGTGCTGGGAATCAAATCCAGGTCCTCTGCAAAAGCAGCCAGTACTCGTAACTCTCTCCATCTCTCCAGACCCAAGTGGCAGATACAATTTAAACATCATTAGCAACATATACTCTAATGAAGATAATAAAGTTTATTCTCTTGCAACCATCCTGCAGGTTGAGACCATTCATATATAATAGGCTCCTACCTAAACCTCACCGTAATTATATTTGTGCTTTCTAAAGTACCTTTCTTTTCCTGGGACTTCTGAAGTACTCAGAATGAGAAAAGTTAATTTCCAATCAATTCCTAGCGCATAAGAAACTAAGATTTAACAATGACAGTTGATTGTTTCATTTGAATTAAAATCCTAGACCAGAAATCACAGCTTAATGTCACATTTGGACATCTTCTTGTGGCCTCCTCTTTTGGAAAGAATGAGTCATCTTACAGAAAGTACAGGAGACAGTTGTTATGATGAAATAAGATGTCTTAACGTTGTCCTATCTCATATATACAAAGGATGAAATACCAGAATTGAAAGAGGAGTCTGAATTTCCTTGACAATGGGAACCATTAGAAATAGAAGTGTCAGTCAGGTATGTTCAAAGAGAAGCTTTGGTTTCATTATTCAACAGTGTTTAAAGTTAGGATGATAGAAATGGTACCCCAAATAATCAGATGTATGGACCAAAAGAGTTTATTAAATAACATATGGAAAGATTCTAAAAGACATCTCCAAAATGTCCACATTGGTTCTTCAAGGTATGTTTTCTATAAAGATTTTTACAGCCCCAAAGCATGAAACTCTGTGGGGGAGGCCTTTTTACTCTGAGTTGGCTGAATCTAATTTTCTCTTGTATGCATGGACCACTCAAGAGTGGAATGTCAGTTCTCCTCAGGAAACAAGTTTCTTTGGCCTTGTGAAGTATCAGGTTTTCATGTATCCTCAAGGGTTCTGAAGGTGACTGTCATGAAGAAGTCATTGGGAAAGCTGATGTGGAACCCATTTCCTTTCACACATGGGATGCGAAAGATTTTCAGTGTATAGTTTGGAAGTCCCTCTCACACATGCAGAAAAACTATGACCAGAATAGTCTTTAGTTGAAATCAGTGTGAAAGCCTGTGATCTTCGCTCTCCAGCCAAGAGTTAGCAACTCTAAACTCCCCATCACTGGTGTCACCCATGATCTCCTCTATGACACTTTTGCACGATGACCCTCTGGTTCAGTTTTCCATTTCAGGTCACCAGATTTCTGCAATCTCTGTGAGAACCTGAAGCAGCTCTGCAAATGTCGGACGGCCTTTAGGGTTCTGGAAAAGGGAAAGGGAGATGATCAGCTCAGTGCACTACTCACTCTGACATCAGCTTGCAGAACTTGGAGACAGAAACCTTGACCCATGCTGGTTCTGCACGAACTGAAGAGCAATGCTTCTTGGCTGATGAACAGTGGCATGATTTGTATATGAGCGAGGCACTGTGAAAATAAAACAGCTAGAGCTGCACACATCAGCTACATGTGACTATTTAAGTGAATTAAAAAGAAATATTTCAGTTAAGAACTGTGACTGAAGAACTGCAATCACACTAGCCACTTTTCAAATCCTCAATAGCCAAAGGTGGCTACTGGACACTGCACACATAGACTATTTCCGCTACTGCAGAAAGTACTAGCAGCACCATCCTAGAGCTGACTTTATATTATTTGACATGCATAACATCAAGGAAAAACTGGGGGAATTTAGTGGGTCAGGCCTCCAAGTTTAGCTCCAGTTGTTTACTATGCTGATCTCCACTAGAAGGAAGGATTTCACACAGAAAGCAAAACACATGTTTTTATAAGAGACTTTGTAGCTCTTGGAGCACAGCCAAGCAAACCCCAAGCTGTGGAGGCAGCAATCAGAGCATCCTTCCTTCCTGTTTTACTATTGCATGTGGTTTGGCTTTGGCTCCTTGAGGAAGAGGATATGGCACTGTTGGTATCATTGGAATCCACAGGAATTACAGCTAATCACAGAGACTACTGCTTTGCACAGAGGTCACTGCCAGCTATGCTATCGGGGAGAGCCCACCCTTTAGTGCTTACCAACAGAAGGCCTCAGGGAAAAGAAAAAGAGAGTCAGGTGTGGTAGCACACATCTGTAATCCTAGAACTTGGGAGGTAGATGCAGGAGGATCAGGAGTTCAAGGCTACCCTCAGCTACATAGTGAATTTGAGGATAGCCTAGGCTGTATAAGACCCTATCTCAAAAGAAGAGAAAAGGAATGAAAAGAAAAGAAGAGAAAGAAAGCAAGCAAAGTGAAGAGAAGACAAAATGGGGCAGGTAGAAGACAACGTAAGCATATGTGATAATCCTCACGGAGACTCCAAGTATAAACTGTGGAGCTTTTTGAACAGGTTGAAGTTCTACAGGTAGAATCACTAACATAGGTTTAACATATGTAGTGACATAATATTTTTAAATTTTGTTATTATCATGTGTGTTTGTATGTGTAAGGGTACATGCATGCCACAGTGCATGTGAGGAGGTCAGAAGACAACTCCCAGGAGTTAGCTCTCTCCTTTTGCCTTCACATGGGTTCCAGGTCCAAACTCTGGTCACCAGACTTGCATAGCCATCTGGGCCATCTCAGTGACCCCACAGGATCTCTCTCTCTCTCTCTCTCTCTCTCTCTCTCTCTCTCTCTCTCACACTAGCCACTTTTCAAATCCTCAATAGCCAAAGGTGGCTACTGGACACTGCACACATAGACTATTTCCGCTACTGCAGAAAGTACTAGCAGCACCATCCTAGAGCTGACTTTATATTATTTGACATGCATAACATCAAGGAAAAACTGGGGGAATTTAGTGGGTCAGGCCTCCAAGTTTAGCTCCAGTTGTTTACTATGCTGATCTCCACTAGAAGGAAGGATTTCACACAGAAAGCAAAACACATGTTTTTATAAGAGACTTTGTAGCTCTTGGAGCACAGCCAAGCAAACCCCAAGCTGTGGAGGCAGCAATCAGAGCATCCTTCCTTCCTGTTTTACTATTGCATGTGGTTTGGCTTTGGCTCCTTGAGGAAGAGGATATGGCACTGTTGGTATCATTGGAATCCACAGGAATTACAGCTAATCACAGAGACTACTGCTTTGCACAGAGGTCACTGCCAGCTATGCTATCGGGGAGAGCCCACCCTTTAGTGCTTACCAACAGAAGGCCTCAGGGAAAAGAAAAAGAGAGTCAGGTGTGGTAGCACACATCTGTAATCCTAGAACTTGGGAGGTAGATGCAGGAGGATCAGGAGTTCAAGGCTACCCTCAGCTACATAGTGAATTTGAGGATAGCCTAGGCTGTATAAGACCCTATCTCAAAAGAAGAGAAAAGGAATGAAAAGAAAAGAAGAGAAAGAAAGCAAGCAAAGTGAAGAGAAGACAAAATGGGGCAGGTAGAAGACAACGTAAGCATATGTGATAATCCTCACGGAGACTCCAAGTATAAACTGTGGAGCTTTTTGAACAGGTTGAAGTTCTACAGGTAGAATCACTAACATAGGTTTAACATATGTAGTGACATAATATTTTTAAATTTTGTTATTATCATGTGTGTTTGTATGTGTAAGGGTACATGCATGCCACAGTGCATGTGAGGAGGTCAGAAGACAACTCCCAGGAGTTAGCTCTCTCCTTTTGCCTTCACATGGGTTCCAGGTCCAAACTCTGGTCACCAGACTTGCATAGCCATCTGGGCCATCTCAGTGACCCCACAGGATCTCTCTCTCTCTCTCTCTCTCTCTCTCTCTCTCTCTCTCTCTCTCGCAACCCCAAGACAGGGTCTCCCTGTAGCCCCAGCTGGCCTGGAACTCGCTATGTAGACCAGGCTGGCCTTGATCTCTGCCCACCTCTGCCTCCCAAGTGCTGGGATTAAAGGTGTGCACTACCATGCCCAGCCCAATATTTTTTGAGTCTAAAGACACCCAAGCTGTGGTGCAAAGTAACAGGCAAATCAACTTTTGCGAACATATTAGTTTATATACCCAAAGCATTGTTTTAGCTTTCTGACTGCAATTTTAAACTAAGTTCATTTGTTGGGCTTTCTGTGATCATCCTGTTTTCCGTTCTCCTGTCTCAGATCCACATGTATTAATATATAAATTATCAGTAAATGTTCTATGCACTTGCATGTTTGTTGATGCTCTCAAAGTATTACAGCACCTCCCAATAAACCTGTTCAAAATTGAAAATATCATAAGCTAAAGATGCATTTTTATACACCTACCTACCAAACATCAAAGCTTAGCAACACAGTTGCCAGGAATCAGTTGTTCATTCTTATGATCTGTAGCTGGCAGGGAGCTTCAGCCCTTTCCCTGTATTCCAAGAGTGCTCCTCACCTCATAGTGTTAGCCAAGGAAAAGATCAAAATTCAACACCCGAAATGTGTTGTCTTTGAAATACATGGAGCTTCCTAGCATTAAAAAGTTGGGAAATTCTAAGTCAAAACCATCAAAACCACCATCTGTATGTTCTGATCCATTTATATTGTCAAAGGAATGCAAAGACGCTCCTAAAACAGCTGTTGCTACTTAACAGCTTACTTAACAGTTTTCTATGTCTTTCAAGATTCCTTGTGGAGCAATTAATCATGACTATCTTCATCCACCAGGGATCATCATAAATTAAATAATACCCTGGTATGTGAACAACCCTATCACTCTTGAAATACTGGCTTTCTAGGGTTTGTGGACTGGAAGTCAAGTGATGCATTTTTTTTCTTTCTGGCAGGAGGAAACCCCTCACCAAGCTGTGATTTTTTTTCTGGGCTAAGCCTGTTAGTTACAAATAGAGAGAGGCTCTCAAAATCAGTCTGATGAGAACAGGAGGACTTTGCTGAATCAGTGCCCAGAAAAGCGAGAGTGGCACAGAAAACGCTCTAGCTTGATTTTTGATCTTGGCATTTCAACGAAAGGAGAAACTGGGCTCCCAAGAGATGATTGCCTGAACGGTGGTTCCCAGAACAGTCCTCCTTCAATTCCTATTTTGGTTTAATCTCTCTATCAGGAGTCGTAAGTGCTATGGAGAGATGAAACCCATTGCTTTTAAGACTTGAAAATCAAGGCAAATGAAAGTTGAGTGCAGTAAATAAAACAGCACCCTTCTTGTTCAATAGGAAAGTTCAAAAACCTAGGTTCAGCCCTTAGCTCCACCATCGGCTCTTCAAGACAATAAATCATCTAATCTCTGAGGATTTAGTAACATCAAGAGTTTCTGCAAGAACCGACCTTAGTTAAGAACTGAAAACTGAGCTCCTCAGCTGAAAGTCCATTGTAAAGAACAAAATGGATTCTGGGATAGGAGTTTCTTATAAAAATGATGCCCTGACTTCTCAGGGTCACGGCTATAGAACAGGCAACTCCGTAATGGTGATGCTCAATGACTGTCAGGCGCTGGGGCTTCAGCCAGGAGAATAATGAAGACCTACCTCATGCCAGCAACTGTACATAACTTCATATATGGACATGGGGGCCAAGTAAGGACGGTATAGCCGGAAGCCTTTGGAAATGGCTTCCACTACTTGCAGATTTGACTTATTTTCAAAAGGCATTTTTCCTTCTGTAAAAACTTCCCACATTAGAACTCCTGAAAAAGAAAACACACAGAAATGAAATTAGAGAGAAACTGTCGCTTAGAACCAAAACAACAATTCGCTTCAAATTACAAGATGTTAATTGCCAGCCTTTCAGTGGTAATTATCCAGAAAGAGAGCAATTCTAGGAGGGGAAGGAGAGTGTGTGCACCTGAGTTTTTAAGAGAACTGTACTTTGAAAATAATCACAGTGGAAAGTATCCCTTGCCTTCTGCATTTGTCTTGACCTTCCCTATAGCAGAGACTGCAGCAGCATCTTGATTTCTAAGTACTACTTCTGTCCCCACCCCTCAAATCAATAGGCCTTTCTAGGGGCTAGAGAGATGGCTGAATAGTTACGTGCACTGGCTGCTGTTGCAGAGGACCCTGGTTCAGTTCCCAGGACCCATGTGGTGGCCAACAACCATTTGTAACTCGTTTCAGGGAATCTGACGCCCTCTTCTGACCTCCGTAAGCACTAAATGCACTTACATGCATTCAGGCAATACGCTCTTACACATAAAATAAAAATAATGAGTAAAATTTTTTAATAGACCTTTTTGTTCTTCCACAGAAAATGACAGATTTGTGTGAGCCTCTGCTGCCTGCTGAAGCCAGAAGTTCCCCATCCATCAGATGGCACCTGCTCACTGAGAGGCTAGTCTGACTGGTAGAGTCCTACTGTATCTATCAGGGGCTGTGTAAGTGCTCAAAAATGATTGATCAATGGAACTCCCCCCAAGAACTTCCAATTTGAATACATGTAGCTATTCACTATTCTACAGATATTTGTTACTGGTTAAAAGTCAGGCAAGGCTACCAGGGGGAGGCCAGTCCAGCTACTGAGGAAGCTCATCATCCAGACTGGGATGATGGCTCAGTTGGTAAAGTGCTTGCCTGACAAGCATGAGGACCTGAATTTGATCCCCAGAACCCATGTAAAGATGCCTGTCATGGCAGTGTGTGCTCATAATTCTAGCCTTTCAGGGTGAAAACAAGAGAAACCCTGAGCCCCCTGGCCAGTCAGTCAGCCTAGTCAGTGAGCTCCAGGCCAGTAAGGGGTCCTGTCTCAAAGGAGGGTGATGGCATTCCTGTGGTGACACTCAAGATTCTGCTCTGGCCTCCACATCATGTGCACATGTGTACATGTACCCAAACACACGTATGCACACACACACACACGCACATACTCTTTCACGTACATGTGCACACATGTAAAACCATGAAGTTCACTAGTTCACTATCCAGGAAGGAAGAGACACGTGAAGCTCAGGAAGTCTAATTATTCTGTAACCACCCGACAAGGTCTTTGCATTGTCGTCGACAGTCCCTAAGATGTAATCACATAATCGCTCTCTAGTAGATCCTAGATGTCACATGCAGGGAATAAACCAGTGGAGAGCTAATGAGATCAATGCTACAACCTTAACATTATGAAGAACAAAGTCACACACTTGTGAGAAAAAGAACATCTCTGTAAACCTAGAAGCCACCCTGGGAACTCTGGATGACAGTTAATAGATTTTGCATACTGGTTGTCATGCTTTTAAAATCAACTCAAATGAACTAACCACACTGAACATGGAGCTACAGTGTCTCTTCCTCAGTGAAGAACATTAGCCATATAAACATCAGTAACCAGAGCCTAAGGAAGCCCATGCACAAATTGCATAAGCCTTGAAAGAATGATCTAAAGTATTTGGACTTTTTTTTAATCCAGGTATTAAGTTCAAACTGTCAAGTGAATGGTTGGAAAACAGTCAAGAGTCTTAGTAATTAAACAGTGAAGTTTATTAAATACACTAGACATTCAATGATTAGATCATTTTTCCTTCAAGCCTATGTGCTGTGGAAATGTTGGCTGAGTTTGCTTTCTAGACCAGTGGACCCTCTGCTATGATTTTACAATAAGAACTTGCTGGGAAAGGAAAAGATTTAAAGGGCAAAGCTATGAGAGGAGGTGTATGCTACCAGTTGCCAAAGACAGTCTGAAGGTGGTCAGGATACATCAGAAAGGAGATAAAAGAAGACTCTTTAAAACACTCTATCATGTTAGGAAATGAGAGTTAGTAAGAAATGGCTGCCCACTGTATTAAATCATGCGCCAGCAAACGTACTGACCAAATGACCAGACGTCAGACTTGCTGCTGTACTTGTTGAAATGAAAAACTTCAGGCGGGGACCACTTGATTGGGAACTTGGTTCCAGAAGAACTGATATATTCATCATCCAAAACATACCTGTATCATCAAATTCAAAGCATGTTATATTAATGACCTCCAAGATCTAGTTATTTTCAAATACTCTGTGAACTCTGATGTGCTGAAAGACGATGTATTGCCCTAAAAGGGTGTTCTGCACGTTATTCTCTCACTAACAGAATGTGAAATTTCCTTTATTCTTTTCCTCTCCCAAACTATACCTCATTGTGTTGATTTTCACTAGAGCTTAGAAAACTACAATCCTACAGTCTTAAAAAAATACTACACTATTTGTGTTCATTAGGGTGCATTCTTAATTCTGCAAAGAAATATGCTGTGCGATCTAACAACTAAGGCAACAGAAAGGGGATAAAAGACAAGTAAAAGACCACTCGTATCATAAAAGAATGGATTTGAAGTTAGATATTTTCTTTCACTTACATTTTTATGGCCCCAAAAGGGGAAAATAAAGTGTGTGATCTTAATACTTCTGGTGTGAAAAATAGCTAGTGTATTTTAATGTGTATCTTGTTCAAATCAAGAATAACTACCAGTATTTTAAAAATAGCAAAAATGTTAAATCCTCTCTCATTTTAAGACCTCCCATAGTGTTGTCAACAATGACTTAAAAGAGGATGAGAAAAATAGGGCACGGTACACATTCACCTCACAGGTAAAACGAGCACATGTCCTGAAATCCAAGATGGGTCACTGAGCCATGCAACCACATGGACAGTTCCCATGCAGACACCTTCCCCACAAGGACATTTCTCTCAGAGTGGAAAGGCAGAGCCAGTAGCACCTTCAACAGGATTTGGCTAGTAAGATGGCTCAGTGGGTAACTCTTGCTGCTGAGCCTGACAACCTGAGTTTGATCCCCAGAACCCAAACATGGAAGCGGAGAACTGATTCCTGCGAGTTGTCCTCTGACCTACACACACACACACACTGAGGCATGCCTGAGCGCGTGCGCACACACGCACTCACACACACACGCACGCATGCGCGCACACACACTGAATGAATGAATGAATGAATGAATGGAGTGTTCTTTAAAAACTGCAACAAAACTCCCTCTTATCACCAAGAAAAGCATATGGATATAGGAATCACATACCTTGTCATCCCAAAGTCTGAAATCTTTACTACACAGGTAGAACTGACCAAACAATTCCTTGCCGCCTATAGAAAGAAGAAAAGAATCAAAGTTGGACAGCAAGATTTTCTTTCAAGGTTTCTATTCTCCTTTTCCTTAGTTTATTTGGCCCCAAATTTCCTCTCTCACAGCCACATGACTTTCATGGTGATACACATCAGTGATGTATATGGCTTAATGGTCCACTTGTGTGCTAAGAGCCTTAACAATGCTTCAATGTGATTTAAAAAACTAAAAATGGGAAAAAAACTAAAAATGAATATTAATACTTTTAAAATATTTAATCTTTTTCTAGACATATTCTTGGTAAATATGAGGATTAGTTTAGTCTAACAGATGATAAACCAAGAATTTTGGTATAAAATACCTTAACATATATTTTTAACTGAAATGAAGAAAGCCCAAAATGTATGACAGACAAGATAGAACCACTTCATATCTTTGAGCTCTCTAGTAGGTAATAAGAATTAAGAAATGACATGTTAAAACTCTTCCTTTAGCAACTGGAACTATTTATAGTGATAATTTCATATTTCTTTGTTACCACAATGAACTAAATATATGCAGAGATATGTAGCTGATGTCCAGATAACCCATTTTTAGCAAGTTATAGAGAAAAATCATCATTTTGTGTATTTAACCTCAAACAGATAAGCTGTCTTGTAGAATTCTTTTCTTTTCATCTAATGTGAGGTTCAATGAATCCAGTCACAAAAGCAAGAAGCTTAAAATAGCAGGCCAGAAGGAGCCAGTTTGGAAGATACCAGCAAGTGACAGCCATGATCTCAAATACAAAGAACAAGAAAATCTCCCAATAAGAAAATGACTCATTGTGAGTTGATATAATTCATGTGGCATGTAAGTAAATAAATAAAATATAAAGAAAATGATCAGAAAAAGGGAAAAAATTAAAGGCAGGAAGGCCTTATGAAGCTACCCAGAGCAAACAGGATGACCAGGGCTGTTGAACCACTGGGTTTAGATTCTATTCCTTGTCAGGACAGAAGCCTGCAGAGGTCAGGAAAGTGAGCGATGTGGAACAGAAACATATTCATCCATTCAGAACTGGTTCAACAGCTTCACTGGGGAATGTGAAGCGAGAAGTGGACTACTGTGTGTAGCAGGAGGCCTCCAAAGATGGCGCAGATCCAGACCCCTGGGATTCAGCGAGAATTCACTTCACTTCTTGGTCCACAAATAGCCCACCAAAAGAAGCCCACTCCTCCATACCCTGCTCATGAGCCCAGTGACTGCTGACAGACTGCATGGTGCAGACCAATCAGAAAACAATATGCTGACTAAAGGGACTTGGGGGCAGAGAAAAGGGAAGTATACGGCCTGCCCCCTCCTGCATTAAACAAGCCTGCAGCACCTCGCCTAGTGCTTGCTTCTACCCGACTCCCAGGGTCTGTGTGTCGTGACTCCGCGCCTCTTGCCCCCCGAATCGGCAGGGGACCTGATCCAGGTCAGGGTCTTCACAGCTGGCTTGAGGCGAACCCACAACACCTGGCGCCCGAACAGGGACTCCTGCCCACGGTGTTGGTGACACTCAGAACCTCGGTTTGTTCAGTAAGTAGGCCCCTGGATTTGTCTGTTTCTTCAGCCACTCAAGGGTGAGTAGCCCCCTCCTCTGTCCCCTCCACCCTGTCTGTCATCTTTATCATTGGACTAGTTTGTTAGATCAGGGAGGCACACTCCACCGTGTGGTCCCAAAGCCCACGTCAGCACCTCCCCCCTCTTGGCTTGTCCCGGTGAGTTCACATAGGGCTGATCCACCCCAAACTCAGAGCCCAGGCTTCAGGTCACCCTGTTGCCTGTCCTGGAGACACCGTGTGAGCATACAGCTGGAGGTGTCACGGCCTCCAGAAGTCCCTCACTGAGCATAAGACATTTGGATCCGATACACCTTTACATGTTGGGGCGGTTTACATCCGAGTGGCTCACGGTGCTTCTTTGCTTCCTTTGTGCCCTCTTGGTAGTCACCCTTGTTTTCTACTTTTGGGGCAAATTCCCCTTCGCGAGACCCTCCCACAATGGGCAATTTACCACCACAATGCAGGGAACCACAAACGGCAGCACTCAAGGTGTTCCTTAAAACCAGAGGGTTGAAAGTGAAACCAAAAGATATCGAACACTTTTGGGATGAAGCCACTAATTTGGCTCCATGGGTCTCCCCTGAAAACATGTGGGACCCTGACACGTGGATGAGGGTCCTTTTCCTGGCCCAGAAAAGGGAGATCGGGTCAGGGATCACTCACCCCGCATCATTCATATCGATCCTCCTAGCCATCATTACTAGCCTTAAATCCTCCTCTCCTGAGGAAGTCATCTCGGCCCACAACAAACACTGCCAGGAGCAGTCTAGTGTAGATCTGGCTATTACCTCGACCCAGGACCTCCCAGACCCCCCCGGACCTGGAGGTGGACGCAGCCTCTGCGCCCACTTCCAATAAGGAAGGAGTTCCTTTGCCTATATCTCAGGATACTCTCCTAGAGCTACCATGCCCAGAAATTCCCCCACCCCGATACCCATGGAAGGAGTTACTCTCTCCCCCGACAGTAACCATCCAGCCTCTTCCCCTGCTAATGTGCCCCTCCCTCCTAGACTGCCCTCCTTAAAGCCTCACCTGCCTTTGTCCACATTTCCGGTTAACATTGGCCCCAATGCGGCGCGGCGTCCATGGCTGTCCACTCCACTCACTGACTTCATTCTTATCCACAAGGCAGCTGAGCAATTGGGCCCTGACTCCCCATATTTCAAACAGGTTCTTCGCCAGTGGTCCTTACGCTTACAAAACCACTATGACTTGTATAAGTTACTAAAGGCAGTCTTAGAACCCTCAGTCTTTCTAAACTGGTACGAAGCCTATGACGATCAGGCTGAAAACCAGGCATGCCTAAATCTCCAATATGGCCTCAACATTAAGTTGGACATGCTCTTGGGACATGGACAATATACTGAACCCATCTCCCAGTCTACTATTGGCCTCCGTGCCTATTTTCAACAAGTTTCTGACTTGGCCTTTAAGGCCCTTAAATGTTGCTCCCCCTGTGATCCACAACTCTTTTTCTGTAATTTGATTAAACAGTCAGGAGAGTCCTTCACGGACTTCCTTACCCGTGTCACTGAGGCAGCAGAGCAGAGGGTAGAGTCTGGACCCACCCGAGAGGTGCTTATCAAACAATTAACTTGGGAGGGACTAAACATCCCTACTCATAATGCTATCACGCCTGTCCACAACGATAACATTCACAAATGGTTACTTGCTACTAGAGACTTAGACCCTAGGGCGGGCCCTACTGAGGCTTTGACCACCTCCTTGGAGACTCTTTTGTCACAAGGAAAACCTGCCCACTTTGACGCACAGGAAGGCTGCTGGAACTGTGGGGAGGCTTGGCCACTTTCATAGCCACTGCCCAAGACTCGCTGCCCTAAGTGCAAAAGAGGGTTCCATTGGGTTAAAGACTGTAGGTCACAGCCTCAACCAGACTCGGCTTCTTTAAACTCCACTGGGGCGGCCCTCAGCCCTGTCCACAAGAGGGGAAACGAGACAGATATTATGGACTCTCCCAATCACAACCACTCCCCACTAGTGACCCTGTCCCTAGATGGAACTGCCATAAAGGGTCTAGTAGACACAGGGGCGGATGTCACCATTATATCAGAAATTGAATCCCTTAAATTCCCTCATTGGAAATACAGGCCAGGCCCGCCAATAAAAGAAGTTGGCGGCACACAAGTACTAAGCTGGTCACACGTCCAGTATATTGGAAGGACTTGGATGGGAACCAGGGCACAGTTACCCCCATAGTAGCAGAAGTTCCCCGTAACTTATGGGGTTGAGACGTCCTACAGGACATGGGCGTGGTCCTTACCACAGATGACCATGCCTTTTATGATGATATCATGCTCCACAATAACTTGGAATTATCAGGGAAAGGACAACACCTTGCCCAACATCCCCAATGCCTCTGTGATAGCAATAGCATGCAGAGCTCTATGTGGGACAGGCACAGTTTTGTGATTGTACACACTAGTTCATGTAGTCCTCCCACTAGACCTGTATGAGGGAGGTGCTGCAGTGAACACCACTTCACCAGTTAAGAAGCTTTCCCAGGATCACAGTTGTAGTGACTTGCAGCCTGGACTCAGACCGTATTGATGCCCTTACTTTCATCCTCAGCAATTCTGATTTCACTAGTCTGGGGCACGATCTGGGTGTTGCGATTTTTCACAAAGCTCTCAGGTGATTCTACCACACAGTAAAGTTGAAGTCTGAGAACCTTTGCTCTGTGAGCCATAATCTTATCATGTTGTGCTGCAATCTCAGGAATCTAGGCCTTGATCTCAAGGTGTTCAGAGTACAGTATTCATGTAGAAACATAAATAATTAACCAGTACAAGAAGCAGTAAATAATAAACACCATGAGTTTTCTCAGTCAAAGGCAAGATAAGTACATTTCCCACGGTGTGCTGGAATGGGTTGTGACTATGCCTCCTACCTCTCCCCCAGATAATCCAGGCTGTAACATGATCATTCTGGGTATGAGGGTTATTTCTAAGTGACACTATTAGGGATTTCATATAGAATTGTCAAATTCTCATTTGAGTTGAAATTGATCTCTTTAAATGAAATGCAGGAGAATAGTGTAAGCATCCTGAACAAACATGCAATGGTCAGGAGGTGCCAGTGAAGGTGAGATAACACAGTCAGGGAGCAGAGCAACTGGCATTTAGCTTGGGTTAGGACATTCTAAACAGGCAAGTTCTGAGCATTACAGAGCAGAGTGATTGGACGTTTCTAGTCTCCATCATCAATGCCAACAATACTCTTGCAACACTGTTATAAGCAAACCACCTGCACATGGGGCAGCTTCACCCCTGGGTATGAATCACAGAAACCATTTCTTCACTGCTGTACCTCCAGGGTCTAGCAGATGGCTCAGCATAGACTAGATACTTGGTACAAATTTGACTACTGGAGTTCCATTCTGACTGAAAGGAAGAAGGGTAACAGAAAAGAAAGAATAAAGAAAGAAAATGAAGGCATGAGGAAGAGAAGACATGGAAAGATCATTGTAGTTAGCTGGTTGGTTAGGTAGTTAACTAGTTCAAGGCATGCTTAGAGTAAAATCTTACTTGGTTACAGCATTAAAAGTCAATTAAAAATAAAGTTACATGGGCAAGGGATATAACTCAATGATAGAGCACAGGCTTAGTATGTACAAGACCCTAGGTTTAATCCCCAACACTGCAAAAAAATTAATTAATCTTTCACAATAATTTTAAATTATTTATTTTTATTTTCTGTGTGTGAGTGTTATGCTTGCATTTATGTAAGTACACCTGTGTCGTGCAATGCCTGCAGAGGGCAGAAGAGGGTCTTGGATTCCCTGGAACTGGAGTTATGGGCTGTTGTTAGCTACCATGTGGATTCTGGGATTCAAATCCGGGTCTTCTGCAAGAGCAGCCCATGTTCTTAACCACTGTGCCATCTCTCCAGTCCCTTTCACAATAAATTTAATAATATTAATAATTTAATCTTCACAACAAATTACATGAATAGAAAAATATTCTCAAATTAAGCTGACCCTACAAGTGGCCTTAAACACCCAAAAGGAAAGTATAACCAAAGATTAATGGGGTCAAT